TTGTTACAAACTCTGTCGTTCCCCTGATTTTCTCATCTGTTCCCCCTCGCTGTAAAGTTTGCTGTTCCCGTGGAAACGGTTAAGAATTTCAATTAGAAGGACCTGCCACCCCCTCCCCGTCTAATCTCAGCGAACAGGGGGAAAAGTAAGAGATGGGTGGGGGGGGGGGGGGGGGGCAGAGCAGAGGGGGAGGATTTCAGAAAGATTATTTGAGGTAAAGTTGAATTCTGTTTGGGAAGATTCAAATCCTGGAAAACAAAGTGGGCCCGAGGTCTTTGTCATCACGCTCCTTTTTATTCTCCGTCTCCCTCCTCCTCCTCCTCCTCCTCCTCCTCCTCCTGCACTCACTCCACTGCCCTATTCATATTCCACCTCCTCCCCCTCCCTCCCTTGCTCGTCCTTCACTGTGGCAGGAAAGTTTGCGGCCTCTGCTGGAGCTCTGACAGACACGAGGGGGGCAAATGGGGAACTCTTTTCTTTTAAAGCTGCAGCACAACCTTCCTCACGTGCCCGACTGTGAGCGCACGGCCATTCCCACCAGCCGACCGGCTCCGAAACTCAAGCCGGCGCACGAGTGACGGAGGCTCCAGCTCCCATCTCTCTTATCTGCCGTGGAAAACAGCAGTCACACTTTCTGGACGATGAGCACGGCAGGATCAAGGCTGCTTCTCCACGACTCTTATCTCTGTCAACATATAGACCACCCGCCTCTCCTCCTAACTCCCATCTCTGTCCTTCGTGCAGATTTTACCCCCCCACCCCCACCCCGTCTCTTCCATCTCCTGCCCTTCCGGTTGGTCAAACTCAATGACACAGCAGAGAGCAGAAAGGAAAGAGGACACTAGGTAGACAGCTGCAAGCTAACATGTTATCATTAGAGTAGAGTTACAGAGACTGACCTGCAGCTAGCTTTGGAAGCTTTTATTTTGAAAGAGATGGCAACTACAACATTTAAAGCAGTTACTTTGACATATATATATTTATATAAATTTCATTTTATATTAATTGTGAGTGTTAAATGACTGCTGAGATGATAAAGCTAAAAGAAGCAGGTTACACAACAACAGGCTAAAAGCTAAAAAAAATCAGAACAGCAGATGATAAAGCTAAAAGGAGCAAAACACCAGCTGAAACCTAAGAGGAACAAAACACTAATAAAGAGCCAAATGTAGCAAAACGCTAGCTCAAAGCTAAATGCGGCAAAATACAACGTAAAAGATAAAAGTAGCAAAATAGTAGCTAAAAACTAAAAGCCGCAAAACAGTACCTTGAAGCTAAAAGCAGCAAAAGGTTAGCTTAAAACTAAACGTAGAAAAAGGCTAGAAAATTCTAAAATCTAGAATAAGCTAGCAAAATGCTAGCTAAATGTTGTAAAAGACAACTACAAACTAAAGGCTAGCTTAAAGCTAAAAGTATCAACATGCTAGCAAAATACTAAAAATGTAGCAAAAGGTTGTTTAAAAGCTAAAAGCAGTTCAAGTTCAAGTTAACTTTATTGTCATCTCCATGTGGTACATGAGGTGGAACAAAATTATGTACACAGGGTCCCAGTTACACCCAACACTAGCTAAATATAAAGTATAAAAATAAACAAGTGTATAAGGATCTAAGATATACACCAAGATATACGCTAAAAACTAATAATGTAAAACAATCGGCTTAACAGCAGCCCGAACATGAGTCTGTAGTGAGCAGATGGGTATGAATGAATATAGCAGCACGAGATAATCAGCAGCACAGATATTACCAATTAGTGGCATTACAGCGATTTTTTTGGGGGGGGTGAATCCCTATTTTTAAGTTAAAAGTTGAAGCAGATCTTAAAAAGAACGATTTTTAAGGAATTGAAGAGATGTTTGTGCGTTTCCATGGGGAAAATATTTATAAATAAAGCTAGATATGTTGAAAAGAATAAAAGTTACAACTAAAAGTCATGGCACCCATCCCCTAAATGAGCTGATCGCTTTGATATTTGAACAGCTAATATGGCACACAGCACGTAAACGTAGGTAGACTGCACGTAACTTAAACAAATAAATAAACAGACAAACAACAGTGTGAATTCTGAATCAGCGTTCAAACAATAAAATGAAAATGTCGGTGCTGTTCAGCTCGTTGTCCTGCATGGAAATACAGCAGTTTGCATGCATGCAAACAATCCTGTCCACGTGCGTGAGCTTCAGCGGAGCTGCTTTTCTTTTACCAAAGCTAATAAAAAGAGTTTCTCACGATGTCCGCTGCCCGGGGCGCTGTAAAACAATCTGATTGAACAGCTATGGGAGGCTGAGATTGGCATGGCAGTGGCTCCTCGCTAACTCCTCTGGATGCATGCAGGGAGTGAAGAAGGTCATATTCTCCAGCTCTGACATTCTCAGATGTACCGAAACAAGGCTCCACTCAGATCCTTTCCCCCCGCGCAGGCCTTAAAAATGTCCCCTCCTCACTGAAGCGTACAGCTATTGTCTGAAGAACAAGTGTTTGCTGACAAGTCCATTACACTTTTTTGAGAGATTATGAAAGGTGGCATTCACTTTCCCCCCCCCCCCCCCCCCCGCTGTCTCCTCACATCTCCCTCTTTCATTTTTGCTCTGGCTTGCTCCGGCCGTCTCTTTCTAAACAGGCCAGCAGACAAAGTGTTCAGTCAAGCCTTCTAATCGCCAGCTCACATGGGTGAGTGGAGTCCCAACTTTTCCCGTCTGCCCCGCTCCACGCTGCATTTTTCCCTTCTCGTCCACTCCTTCTTTCATTTTATTTCAGGCAGCAGTAAAACATAAGGAGGGGGTTGAAATCACATATTTTCTTATATGGTGAACAAAAGGCGCAAAAGGATTAACACAAGTGGATGTAAAACCAACAGGCCTGAAATGCTAATTATGCTATGATTTAAGTGTGCGCCTGAATTCCAGCATGAAAAACTTTTTGTGACGCAGACAGGTTCTATTTTCAGCCTCGGCCAAAAAGAAGGGGAGTTTTGTCAAGCCTCCAGCAGGCTGAGGGGGGGGCACTCAGGACCTCTACCTTAAGACTCCGGCTTATTTCTCAAGCAAACATGATTTGCTGCAGCTTTACTGGCCTGGGAACATTTAGTTCAGTCGCACAACTACACACAAACGTTCTAACTCCAAAACACCTGCCGCCCAGTCTAATGAACGTTGTTTGTTTGAGGTGCACACTTAAAAACACGGTCTGCAGCGTGATTCAAAGAGTTGCGTGAAGTTCATCGTGCATTTGGTGTTTTCCTTGCAAGGTGGAGCCACAGTACGAAAACAAACAGAACATTGAGCCCCGTTCCATCCAAACCTGCACCTTGTAGCCAGGCTCAGATAATAAACAAGAAATACCTCCTGCTCAGCAGGAATGCACTGTGGGATCGCTGGCTATCCGTGGTGCAGCTTTGGTCTCACGTGTCCAAACAGCCCAAATATTCGCTCATCCTGCGCAGGGAGTGTTGTTCTCGGTTATGAGTGTGCAATCACCAGGGAGAACTGAGAACCTGCCATTTTGGAAAGCACACTCGGAGAAACAAGAATCCTGTCCCAACAACTACCTGAACGGCCGCGCGTGGAAACCACATCCGTCCACGACTGATAATTACGACATCTAGATTTGAACCGGCACCCGAAATGACGGTACAACGGCAAGCGTGAGTCAGAGGCCAACAGGGAGAACGCTCAGCCAGACACAAGACAGAGGGGAGCTTCATGCTGTTCGTTTCTTCCAGCCCATTAGGCCTCGCGTGCTCGTTTTCAGAACGTCCTGCTCACCGACAGCGGCGCACACGTTAGCGTTTGTGACAACTGGATCCTGTCTCAGTGTTTCCATCAATGTATGCGAGCTCGCCTCCCGCTGCAGCCATGACGATGACACTGTCGCACTTTCATGCGTGCACACACCCGTCTTTCCAGCCATGCAAATTTTTTCTCTTTTTTTTTTTTGTTTGTTTTTTTTCGTTAAAGGCAACAAAAATACACTGGATTACAGCGGGACAATGGGCAAAGGCGGGTCACCACGGCAACAAGCAGAGGGGGGCTGGAGCAGGGGTTGTGTGCATGGATTGGGATGGTGTCTGAAGTAGTGATTTTGGGGTAAAAGAGGGGGCTGTTACGGGAGCAGCTGTTGCATTTAATTAGTTTATGTTACTCCTGTGTCACCCTAAGTGTAGTTTGCTAAAAAGGTAACCCAAGATATCACGCATTGTAGATACTTGTGAAAATCTCTGTGATGTTCTGCCCTTTTAATCGTCACTTTTGCTCCTCGTTATTTCAGCATCCCACCCCACCCCTTTTCACTGCCCTTCAACCTCTTCTGAGACCCCCTCCCTTTCTCTCCATAGGGGATACTTCTTCCCTTTCAGGCCCCTGCCATCTCTCCCTTTACTTCCCCTCCTCCGTTGTTGTTTTTTTTCCTCTCTCCCCCCTGGCCACTCATCGGTCTCCACAACATGCGCTTGAGCCTTTCACAAAATTATATTCAAAGCGACAACAAGACAAACGTAAAAGCTAAAATCACCACAATCTGATTGAAATGAGCAGCACAGGAGACAAAATAACTAACTAGGACTGCAGCACAATCACTTTGTTTTTTATACGCCTTTTCTTTTCCTTTCTCACATCAACACATATTCTAATAGTTTTATATTTTAGATTAAAACAAGAAAGATCAGGTTTTTATTGTAAAATGAACAAAGAAAAGTTTCATAGGAACACAAAGACTCCCAACAGGACAAGGGGCTTCAGATTAAAATAATCTATCACTGGTATCGTGTTGTGATTTCATGCGTGAGGCTACTTGGTGAAGTTAACACCCAAGATAGTGCGAACACAGAAATGGTGAGCTAGCTCCAACAGTTTCACAAAATCAAAATGAAGATTTTTTTTTTTTAAGTTGCCAGTACTAGTCTGACAAGTAGCTAACAAGCAGGAGCATTAGTCTAATAAAAGTTACGAACAAGCCATTAAATAGTTCCTTTAAAGTCAGTTTCAGAAGAAGGTTTGTAAATAGGGATGCATGATATTGGATTTTTGACCGATACGTTAAAACTTATTTGGCCGATAACGATACCAATATCGATATTTTCCCCCTAGACCTACTTACAGAGACACAGCTTTCTCTGCTGTGGAATTAAAATACTACATTATTCTGCATGCTCTTTGTCAGTTTGGCTGCTACCAAATGCCAAAACTGGGACTGAAAATGATGTAACACTATATAAATACATATTTAAAAAAAAACAGTGCCTTTTATATCGGTGAGTTATTTTGATGGAATGGCCGATATTTAACTTTATCGCTAATATCGACCGATACCGATACCATGCCGATAATATTGTGCATCCCTATTTGTGAACAATTACTGTCCTACCTGTTACAGATAGCGTTTTAATCAACCTGTTGGTTAACCACAGTCCAACCAGACTGAGGAGCTAACTGCTAGCCTGACAGGGCTAAATCACAGTGATTTATTAATATTTAACCATCTTAAAACAACTCTAATCTCTAAATTTAATAGCATTTCATGCAAACGCTAACAAATTCTTAAACAGCCTCCATTTTCTCTATAGGTTTTCCAACAGGAACATTAAAGTATTCCTGCAGGAAGTGCCTCAGGCTGCATCGTAAATGTTATAGCTAGCTGCCGCAATCACAAAAAGAGCTTATACTTATAGATAACTAACCACGTTTCACACAATTAGTGGCTATATTAAGGTTTGCAAAATAATGTATACACGAACCCTTGTTGTTTTTAAAGATGTGAGTTGAGTTAAACAGCAGCAAGCTGTTCAAGCAAACAAGTCAGATTTGCCGTCAGCTCAGTCTGTTTCTCCACAACGAAGTTGTTGGAACAAATTGTGAAAGTAGCTTACAAAAACAGTGCATAGGTGTCCTTTAATATTAAAAAAATATGTAACCAGCAATTAAACTCTGACAGTTTGTTGTGAAAAGAAAAGACAGCTGCAGGTTAGTGAGTTGTTTACCTTTCCGAACTGATCAAAGTATTGCTTCACGTCTTCGATGGTGGTATTTACGGACAGCCCTCCAACAAAGATCTTCTTTGTCCTGGTAACCAGCTAGCAACACAAGAGAGGGGGGAAAAAAGTGGTAATTTTTCATCTGAACTAACGTTAAATATGTTGTGGAGGCAGGTGAAAGAGACTTTGTGTTGGTTTATTAGGTCTGGAGGCTCGGTGGATCATTTTAAGCTAATTCTGCTGGTTTTGAGTTGTGTGTAGGTGAGTATCGTCTGTGGCTCAAGTGTGTATGTTGGTGTGATTTCTGTGGGCAGCACAGAGGTCAGGGAGCAGAATCCAGGGTCACGATCTCAGGCTGAACGAGTGATTTGCAGCTCCTTTTAGGTCACGTGCCCGACTCTTACCCCAGCCAACCAGAGCCGAAGGATTAGGAGTGATATATGACATCATCGCCTCGCTGTTAACTCCTCGTGGGCGCACTCACCTTAGGCTGAGCTCGCCTGGGAAACGCCACCTTTGGGTCAATCTGCAGGAGAGAGATAATAAAGATAAAAAGGAAACGTAAATTTAATGACTGACTGATTGAGACGTTTAAGAATCAGCATTAAAAACTAAACTGCTGTTGTTTCCTTTCTGGGGTTGCTTTTTATGTTTGGACATTTAATTTATGTTTAGGCCTCATTACCTCCCACTGTGTTACAACCCAAAAACAAAGCTTCAAATTGAATTAACAAAGAGCTTTGAAGTGAAAATGCTGCGTTAAAAGCTCACTCAACGTAATCACAATCCAAATTTTAAAAATAAAATGTGTCAAAATTCCAGTTTTCCATTTAAAAAAAACAAAATTTCCAGTTTTCAGAATGTCTATAGTGCATTGAGCTTGATTAAAAAGTCTGTTTCAGTCATTACGTTGTTCAGTGTCCCATCTTCTTCTGTAAAGTGCAAATATAAAGTATTGTAATAAAGTCTCAGGGTCTGAATCTGTGTGAAGAGCTGTCAAAGTCTAGAAATAGAGCATATGCTAATCTGTAAATATGTATAGCGGACACTTATTTATGCGAGTCCAAACAGAACCGCCCAAACGACCCGGCAAAAGAACCAAAATTCACATGGAGACAGCAGCACATGCTTTGAAATATACGAGACACAACTAAACGCACGTCAGACACAAACTAGACGGAACGGGGCAGCCTGGAATCTAAAATAAGCGCTTAATATTCTGAATACATTAAAGACGTGTGCGGTTTTTTTTTTTTTTTTTTCTAAATCGCACAAATCCTGACAACCCCCCCATTTTGGATTAGTCAGATTTGACTGTATCCACATTTCTTCCTGCTGGAATGTCTCAGCAGTGGTCAAGGTTACAGATAAAATGAGAAATAAACGAGTTTTTGAAAGAGCTGGCCTTTAATAATGCTAAATATGCAAAGCCCAGTTTGGCATTTTAAATTTGTGTGGAATCTTGCGTTATTCACACTCAAGCTAACAAGAGAGACGATTTCAGGTCACAGGACCTGGTAGTGTCTTATAGTCTTAGAGTTTCCATCTATGCTGTAATAATTGGATGTGTGAAGCAAAGCCCCTTGGGTCTCACACAACCTCTATAGGACATATTGAACTGCTATTGGCATCTAAAAAGCGCCCATCAAAGAGCCAAACTTAATCACATATAATATGGACAATACGGACGTTACTAAAGAGGACATTGTTCAATATAAAAGAAGAAATCCTTCCATCTCTTATCGGTGATAACTGCCTGCTTGTGATGACAAATACACGGGGAAATAGATCCTACGAGGGGCCTTTAAGTGCCTCGGCTTTAACGCTGCTTAGAAAGCACGACGCTGTGTGACTTCGATGCAGCTGCAGCGCCCTTGGAAGGAATTTGAGAAGGACTTCACACCTTGAAGTGGGAAGCAACGACGAGAAGAGTCATGCCACCCCCAGCTGGTCCAAGCACAAAGACAAAGGTGACAAGGACGCGCACAAAAGCAGCCGACGGCAACCAAGCGACGCCACAGAAACTGGCTGCGCAGCGTTTCTTACTAGATCTGAGCCAATTAGGATAAGTAGCATTTTTGATTTGATATAATGGGACCAAAAAATTGTGCTTCATTTGATCATTTACAGTGAAAATAGCAGGACACAAAAAAACAAGACCGGGAAAGCAATAAATAAATAAAAACAACAAATAGTTTAAAATAATAAAGACAGCTGATCAAATAAATACAAAAAAAGATGGTAATGATCACGTATTTATTCTGGTGCAAAGTCGGCAGCAGGTTCCCGGTTTTGTTTGACCTGCAAGTCCTGAGCGGTACCAGCCTTTGGTGTTCTGGTCAGCCCACCTGCCTTTAAACTGCTAGACATGACTGGAGGTTCGGCGCTGCCCGAGGCGACCGCGGCAGAGACGAGCTACGAGCTGACAGCGACGGCACAACAAAACACCTTTCACACAAAACTGCACTCACGTTAACAGTAACAAAATAAAATGACAGGCACAAATACCATTTACAGCTTTTTGTGTATATTTAGTGCCACATGATTAAAAAAAAGTTACCTGCATGTTCAATCTGTAAATTGTTTAATTGGTAATTAAATCCTCAATAAAGCAAGATACATCTTATAGTTGCTATTAAACATATAGTTTAAAATGTCTTTTGACTTTAAAAGATTAGCCGTATGGCTTAGGTGTACTAGCACAAGTACTCTAAGAAAACACCCGTAAGTAGTGATGCTACTAACTAAAACAGGTTAATGCAAAATGCTACAGTGGCTAGCCATGCCATGCTGTTAAACAAGTCATTCTACACATCTAAAATATTATAATTTCTACATCTAGCTGCTCTCAGAGGGGCAATAAATGAAAGCTAAAGCATCTATCAGTGTGGCAGATTAGCCTCGGGGAAGACAGAAGGCCACAAAGCAAAAGGTGAAATAACTTAGCCAGGTCACAGTTTTCAACACTCAGGAATAGCTCTTCAGAGGCTTCACATGTGAGGAGAACGCTGGCCGTGGTGAAAAGGTAGCTACTCGCAAGGAGAAAAAAATACTAGGAAGGAAAGGGGGAAGAAGTTGCCGCTCTGAGCCTGGCAGAGAAGAGTTACAACCGAGTGTTTGTGAAATGGTCTGACTAACATCCTGCTTCATGACATCCAATCTCCGCTCAATCTACGCAGCGCAGTGACAGCAGAGCCTAAATTATGATTTTAGTGGTTTAGCTTCTCAAGACTACGCTAATCTACAGCTAGTAGTCACCTCACTTGGCGCAGAGCATCCACCAGAGTTACAAACTGTAAAACAAAACAAAAAATAATTCAAATTAAAAGGAAAGTCAGCTGAGACCAGAGTGGAAGTTAAAGGGATAGTTCAGAACTTTTACCGTGGGGTTTGGAGTAAAAGGTTATGAGTAAATAATCTCTCACCTGCTATTAATCTCATAAAGTTTACACAAGTTCAGTGTTTCCCCTACCATTAAACAAGCAAGCCGTCCCGCCCTGTCAACAGAACCGAGCGCTCCGCCTCCCAAACTCCACCCCCCCCAAGCGTAGACGCTAAGCTAGCGTTGCACAATACAGACGCGCTAGCTAAAAAGTTATGACTAGGGAGGTAGCACTCCATCTCCACTCCCTGCTCAAGCTGTCAGTACAGTGCGGGGCACAGACGTGCCTCCTCCCCCCCAATCGTCGACAAAAATCGTCCTGAGCGCCCTGCCAAGGTGAGTAAACTAGGGGAAACACTGAAGTTCGTTCAAAAACTATTTTATAAAACTTTACGTTGACAGTTTTGCATTTCATTGTTATTCTAGCAAACCCATTATAATGTTCCAGCAGGAAGTGCCACCAGGTTGCACAGAGTGCTACAGCTAACTGCTGCTGCCGCTCTTTACACTTGTTTTAAAAAGGCAGCATACCACTTTGGCCTTGGCTCCACTCGGGCTAGCTGTTAGCTCATCAACCAGTCAGCTATAAACTTCATTTCCCTAAACCGAGATGCTTCAAAGGGCCATCTTCAACAGGTAAGACACTAACATTTCAAACATCTCCACACGACCCCACTTCTAAAGATCTGAACTGGGTTTTTTTTTTAGGGCAGAGCAAAAGCACAGGGAAGAAAACGATAGAGGATTCATTTAGAAAACAGAGACAGCCCATGAGAAAATGGGCCTGTCCAGTCGTAGCAGAGCAGCAGGGCCGTCCCAGCAGGCAGCCCCTCTGATTTCATTAATTAACAGGACAAAGAGTACAAAACAGATGGGCCCACAGAGGAACTGGGGCTCCCGTGCTACTCCTCACAAGCACATATACATATACCCTCATAAAGTAGCACATTTGCCCAGTGACATATACATGAAATTAAACCAGCACCGACACAGACTCGTACAAATATACAGTGATGGGCCTTTTATAAATAGTCTCCAGTGCAGACACGTTGAAGGTCTGACACACATCAGGCTGCCAAGATGTTCGTGCGACTAAATGGCAAACACCCACGCTAATAAAAAGGCACCACAGGCTGCCCCATTACGGCAGCATAATCAATAAAGGCTAAACAAAAAGCTATAAACACAAGCAGAGACAAAAAAGGGACTTGGCGTGTCAATACTACCACAGAGTGAGGGAAGAGACTTGGTTTGGGCTCAGGCCAGCAGGGTCGACCTGCACAGATGAACAACGGCACAGTAATTAGTTATCGAAGCGCGCTAATGAGGACCTCCGACCCAAACCTATCGCTACCCCATCCAAGGTGGGTGCAGCTCATGGAGGTTTTGCACATGTGTCATCAAGACCGCCCCCGTGTCACACGTTAGGAGCAGGTCCGAGCTTTGGCCACAGGTCTGAGGCTGTGCACGGACCTCTGGCCCAATCCAGTTTGTTTCCTCCAATCCGATTAGTTGCTTTTCAGATCCATACTAATTACAGCACAGGAGCTGGGCCTCCCCCCCACCCTATCCCTTGCACGCTCCACCCCCACCTTCAGTTTTGTCCATGTCAGCATTAACAGCTAATCTTCCAGTCAGGAACCAAGAGCCACAGTCAGGTGTTGGACCAGTAGCTTGTGCAGAGAGAAAGCAGCTGTATCAGCATCAATAACCACCATGTTTTTAATGCACTTTGATGCCAAAAACAGCAATTACCCACTTTCACATCGCATGTATTCTGTTGTACTTCATATAAAAAACAAAAATAACATACATCAATCGAAACAATCTAACAAATCCAACTGTTTGTCTTGTATTTAAGTACCTCCTATTCAGATTATTTTGTCCTTGTAAACAAAAATGGAAGGTGTACCATTATTAATTTGAGGTATTATGTTGTAACAATACCATCTAAATACACAAAAATACTAAAATATTACACTGGATCCACTCCAAATACTGTAAGCTTGCAAAATAAATGTAATCCGTCACTTATAAATCCACCAGGAACCCTGCGTTACGTCCACGGAACAAGAGGTGGTCATTTTTCTGAGAATCTCTTCCTTCGCCTGTTTCTTCTTCCTGTAACTGGTCCCAGTAAAGCGCTTCAAACACAGAAAACAAGTGCCGAACCAGTTGTGCCCTTCTTTCTCTGTCCACAGAAACACAACAGCACACTCTGGCCCCGAGGCAACACTTTGGCCCCGACAGGAAATCTAACCTCCAAACAAAACATCACCAGAGCTCCCTGAAAACAATAGACAAACCTCTTGTTCGTCGTGCTCTGATATTTGAAAACGCAGGTGCTGACGCCATTTTCAACTGGCATTTCTCTCATCTGTGATTTTTAATTTGAACGAGTGAGTTTTTAAAAAAAAATACAGGCTGTAACCGTACTGTAAATGTTTCATTCTGCGTTTAACCGGTGGCACGGACCTTGCACCGGTTAATGAAGTTTGCTTCCCACCCTGTCCCTCCCACACTGCTCCAGGTGCTCCATTACACCGTTTATGCTGCTTCCCTCGTAAACCAAAGGCTTTAAACTAGGGCGGAACGATTTTGGAAAATATTCTAATTGCGATTTTTTTTTTTACCTCAATATTGTGATTGCGATTTAATATGCGATTATTTTTCAATGTCAAAGTGTTGATAAAGATTTGTGGTGCTACCAACAGCAGCAAGGCAGGTTCTGCACAACAGCATCTTAATTTTTATAGCCAAAATAATTCCAAACAACGGACGTGCTGCTCCTCTTTGGTACCAAACTTTCAGCTGTATCGCAAATGAAATTAATTGTACAGCCCTACTTTAAACAAAGCAAAAATATGAAATAAATAAATTCTTATTATTATTCCAAGGAGTAATGTCTCTCGTGGATCTGATGAGTCCAGGTGTGTTGCAGAACACAGTGCTGCAACCTGCGGCTCTGGAGCCACACGTGGCTCTTTGGTGTCTCCGCAGAGGATCTTTCAAGCTTTGTTGAAACTAACAAAAATAACTTAAAACTGATTTTTTTTTTAGGATGTTATAGCCACAACAAAAAAAATGACTAGTTTTATAAGTTTTCCTGTCATTTCCTTTGCAAATATGTGGATACTAGTACTAATACAGAGTAAATTATACTCACTTTAGCTTTATAAAGGTTGAATGAAAAAAAAGCTTAATTTCTTCAAAATATTCAATTGCTCCACAATAAAAATAAAAAAATCTCATATGCCTGCACAGTTCATCGTTTTAATTTTTTTTAAATTGGCAAAAATAATATACAGTATATAATTAGGGGTGCACGGATGAATGGGCAGGCCGATTTCTTGACTTTTGGGAGATCGGCCGATACTTACATGAGAAACCAATTTTTTGTAGTTTTAACAATTGTCTAAACTTCCTTTACATTTCAGAGCACTACCTCATGGCCAGTTAAAACAAGTTTGTATTGTTTCTAAGATATTGTTCCAGGGTATGTTTTTCAATAAAATAAGATTTAAAAAAGTTGAAGGTGCATTGTGACGTTAACACCTGACAGTGTCGCTTATAAAACAAAATCGGTATCGGCAGGTCAGTCTTTTTCAAAATCGTGATTGGCCAGAAAACTGCATTGGTGCACCCCTAATATATATTTTTCTTTACAAGAATCCAGTCTTCTGTGATGGACTGGAGACCTGTCCAGGGAGTCCCCCGCCCCTCGCACAGAGATTGACGGACATGGACACCGGTGACCCCCGTGACCCAAAATGGAAGAAGCGGGTAAAAGATAATGGATGGATGGATTTCACTCCTACTGGCCAGGAAAGCTCCCTCTAACAAACTTAAAGCGGCCCATGGGCCACCAGTTGATAATGACAACTGTAGCAGGTTTTGCAGCTCTGGACATGTTTAATTTAGCGAACGAAGGGGCAGAAATGTCTCTTTTGATCGTAAAGGTTGCAGACCCCTGATCTACAGAGCCTTGTGAAAGTATTCGTCCTCCTTGAACTTTTCAACCTTTTGTCACATTTCAGGCTTCAAACATAAAGATATAACATTTTAATTATTTGTGAAGACTCAACAAGAAGTGGGACACAATCGTGAAGTGGAATGAAATTTATTGGATGTGTCAAACTTTTTTAACAAATAAAAAACTGAAAAGTGGGGCGTGCAATATTATTGGGCCTCTTTACTTTCAGTGCAGCAAACTCACTCCAGAAGTTCAGTGAGGATCTATGAATGATCCAACGTTGTCCCAAATGACTGATGATGATAAATAGAATCCACCTGTGTGTAATCAAGTCTCCGTATAAATGCACCTGCTCTGTGATAGTCTCAGGGTTCTGTTCAACGCGCAGAGAGCATCATGAAGACCAAGGAACACACCAGGCAGGTCCGAGATACTGTTGTGGAGAAGTTTAAAGCTGGATTTGGATACAAAAAGATTTCCCAAGCTTTAAACATCCCAAGGAGCACTGTGCAAGCAATCATATTGAAATGGAAAGAGTATCAGACCACTGCAAATCTACCAAGACCCGGCCGTCCCTTTAAACTTTCATCTGGAACAAGGAGAAGACTGATCAGAGATGCAGCCAAGAGGTCCATGATCACTCTGGATGAACTGCAGAGATCTACAGCTGAGGTGGGAGAGACTGTCCATAGGACAACAATCAGTCGTACACTGCACAAATCTGGCCTTTATGGAAGAGTGGCAAGAAGAAAGCCATTTCTCAAAGATATCCATAAAAAGTGTTGTTTAAAGTTTGTCACCTGGGAGACACCAAACATGTGGAAGAAGGTGCTCTGGTCAGATTAAACCAAAATCAAATTGTTTGGCCACAATGCAAAACGATATGTTTGGCGTAAAAGCAACACAGCTCATCACCCTGAACACACCATCCCCACTGTCAAACATGGTGGTGGCAGCATCATGGTTTGGGCCTGCTTTTTGTCAGCAGGGACAGGGAAGATGGTCAGAATTGATGGGAAGATGGATGGGGCCAAATACAGGACCATTCTGGAAGAAAACCTGTTTGAGTCTGCAAGAGACCTGAGACTGGGACGGAGATTTATCTTCCAACAAGACAATGATCCAAAACATGAAGACACATCCAAATACTTTCACAAGGCTCTGTATATGGACTACAGCAAATAAATTCATACCAAAAACAACCAAAACTGTTTCATTTCTGAAACCAAACTATAAAATTGCCACCTTGTTTTTGTTAGTTGGATAAATGAAGCCATGACGTCTCACCCCCCCCCACAGACCGGTGCACCAGGTAACAACCAGAGCTGTGACTGAGCCGTGCACGTTATTATTGTTTAGCCGTTTATAACAGGACAACGCCTGCCAAGCTGAGCCTCCAAACCAGCGTTCACATCACACACCAGGCCTGGCTTACTCCGGTTCTTCAGCAGAGCCTACTTTTAGGAGGTAAAATGACTCACTGAGTTACACTTTGCAGTTGTGTTGTAATAAACCTGACGACAGCTGCACCGAGAGATCTGCTCTTCTCCTGAAGGTAAACTTTTTAGGAGTCACGGGAACATCTTCCACACAGGAAGTGTAAAAGTGTGACATGACTCGACACTATCGCTGCCAGCCGAGCCCGACGCCTTTAGGTTTAATGCAAATTATCCCGGGAAGTCGTTATGGAGACCAAAGTCCCACCGGGTCTTTAAGTTACAGCATCGTCTCCAGAGGCGGTGGCGTCACCCCCGGCAACGGACTTGCTTACAACTAACCAGCTCTACCTGCCTCCACCCCTGGGCTCTGCCGGTGCCTTCCTGTGCCACCACTTTCCACTCTCAAACGATCCCATTGTGTGTGTGTGAGACGAAGACACACCCTGTCCCTGCTCCTACAACCAACCGGCGCAACCACGGCGGCAGCGTGCGTCCACACCTGCACACGCATTCAAATCGCAAACAAACGGCCGGGATCCGCGCACCATTATCGCCCGCTGCAGACGTTAATGGTTTTAATGAACCGCTGGACAAATTCTAATAAAACTTTGGATCTACTTCTCCAACCGATTCACTTTTATTTTGCGGTTTAGTCAAAAACGTTGGCGGGTGACATGCATTCCTTGTTTATAAATCATAAACACACGCAGGAGCTCTAACAGGTAAACAAGTTCTCCTCTTTCTTTCTTGTTTGTCTTATTATGATCCAGCGGTGCGGGAGAGGGTATTTCAAATAAACTCCTGATTAGAGGGCTTGTTTAAACACATTCATTACACCGATATTTAAACTATTTCAATCCAAGCGAGCCGGGTTTGGACCTCACAGACTCCCCCCGCAGCACTCTGGAAGCTGTGTCCTCCCACTTTTTGGTTTTAAGAAATTAATAATGTTTTATTGCATAAAAAGAAGAAAACATGAACTTTCTATTCTGGCTAAAACCTGCAAGTTTTTTTTTTTTTTTTTTGCAGGGGCTCTTACCCCATTCAGGTCTCCCGCCCCCCCAGGTAACCATGGCAATGAAGCTCAAGAAAGAACGCTTTCATGTTGGCGCCCTGAACCGGGATTTGGAGAGAGAGGGAGGGGGAACAAGCAGACAAGAGGAAAAGGAGGAGGGTGGCTGCTCCAAAACTTTACAAGCCATACAGTGGGAGGTAAAAACGCACCAAGAGGCAGGAGGAGGAGGAAACTCACCGTTTTGGAGTCCAGTTCGTGTCTGTTTTGCGCCAGAACCTTTTCCACACCGGCTTGATCTGCGTATGTCACAAACCCAAACCCCCTGCAGGAAAATAAAAAAAGGAAATAAATAAACTCTGCAGCAGCTTCCTTCCCAAGCAGCACGAGGAGTCCAGTGATAGGACGGCGGGGCGCACACGCCTCCCCTGCGTCCCTCTTACCTCGACCGCTTGGTGACGGGATCCCGCATCACCATGCACTCCTTCACCTCCCCAAATTTACCGAAGTACTCGCGCAATCCCTCTGCAAACCAAAAAAAAGAGGACAAGTGAGGGTCAAATCCATGCTAGAGACAGGCGGAGGGGGAAACAATGAGGGCTGGAGGTGAGGGTGGGGGCAGGTTGTGTTTGTCCCATGTGACCGTCCAGCACGGCAGCTCACAAACAACACAACAAGTTACTCAAAGTGCTGCTTTAATGATGATTAGTTTTTACTGGAGGAGCCCTCTTCTGTTATTAACTGCGTAATGAGCGCACGAGGGGGAGCCAAGACGTGTGTGTGCGTGCGTGCGTGTGCGCGCCAGTGTTAATCTCCTGCAGAAAATCCTCACTTCACTGATCCTCGGCTGAATGGGAGCCTTTCATTTAACTATTTACAGGATGTCTGCCTGAACTTGGCCAGGTAATATGAAAGCTGTGCATCAATGAGTAAACAGGAGGAAGAGGAGGAGGAGGAGGAGCAGAGAGTGCAGGACGGCTCACCTTGTGTCGTCTGCCAACTCAGACCCCCGACGAACATTTTGCTGAAGGAGAGGAAACACAAGCAGTGAGAACATTAAACGCATACATGAATAAAAGCACATTAAAGGAGGAGCTGTGTGTCAGCTTCAATAAAGTGAAGCATCGGCCATGTTGCAAGTCACCCATCGGCCAGCCGGCCCGTTATAATCCCCTGGAGGAGGAGGCGCAGGAGGAGATGGGGGGGGGGAGATATTTTTATTTTCTTGTTTATTTTCCAGATGATGGAGAAGTTGCAGTGTGGCCTTCTGGAAGAAAACCGCGACAAATAAACAAACAAGAAAGGAGGAGAGGAGGGAGAGAGGGGAGGAGGGGGGACGGAGAGCAGCGGTGCGCCTGTGTGTGCTTCCTCCGGTGCGAGTGGATCCATCCCACACACACACGCACACTCACACACACTCACACGCACCGCGTGCTGCTCGTCTTTTGTCTCCGCGCGGCTTCACTCACGAAACTGAACTAAAGTCCAAGGTGAACTCGAACCGGGCCGACAGAGAGAGAGAGGGGGAGAGAGGCGAGCGAAAGCGAGGCCGGGGCACCGAGAGGAGGCAGGGAGCGAGGAGGTGTGTGTGGAGGGAGGGGAGCAGGAGGAGAGGCTGTTACCGACCAGGGGTCATGAGGGGAGTTATCCGTGCCGGAGGACAGGCTGCTCTGGCTCCCTTCCGTGTCCATTGTGCTCTCCGCTGCTGATATTCCCGCACTGAGAGGCGGCGAGGCTTCACCGCTGCTGCCGCTGCTCCACACTCAGGGGCGGGCAGCTCTGTGGAGGGGGAGGGGGTGGGGGAGGATGAAAGGAGGAGGGGCGGAGTGAGGAAACACGCGCGCGCTCACAGAGAGAGAGAGAGAGAGAGAGAGATGCAAAGGCTCCGCCCCTTTAACTCTCTCCCTCCCCCCGCAGCATTCTGGCCCCTCCCCCTGCTCTCCTCCCTCTCCCTCCCGCCGGTGGCGCTCTTCTTTGTGGTGTTTCCCCGCCGCTGCTGCATCCACAACATGGTCAGCAGAGCAGCGTTTAAAAAAAAAAACACTTTTAAAGATGGGCGACGGTGTTTCTGCGCGTGAGGTCGCCTGCGTGTTAGCAAAAAATCTTTTAGGATTTGAACGAAACTCAGAAAACAATCATTAGACGTGCCTCCTAAACTAACGGGACAGTTTGAGTCGACCCAATTCAATATGGCCGCCACAGCTAACCAATCATCTGCTTTACCAGTTAGTCAACTCTGTTAGCAAAATATCTGATAAACAGCTGGACAGGTTTTAATGAAACTAGAAAGTGATCTTTTAAAACTGATTAGCTTTTAATGTCAATAGTTCAAGATGGCTGCCACAGCTAACGCTAAAATGTGTATAACGGTCATTTGTGTAGATGTGGAGCTAATATTTGTTCTGAGAGTGGTCCCCATCACATCCTTTGAGCAGAGGCGGCTCTAGGATCTGACCTTCAGGGGCTTGGACCTCACTCTTGGCTTGAACAACGCAGTGGCCATTAGCGTCAGAAGCATTTGTAAAGTTGGGGTGCACACCGGTGGGGGGCATCTAGGAGTCCTCCCCCATAGCATTTTGAATAAAGTAGATGCCATTTCTGCATTCTGGTGTATTTTAACATCTACATTACCTACATTCGTAAACACTAAACAATTTTTAAGATCATGACACAACAAGAAGTAGCGCTAAGCTAGCGGCGAGCTAAGATGCTACAGACACAACGCTGCACTTTACATTGCCCTAATAAACGATTTGTACAAAATCAGTTTAGCGTTATCTGATCATAACAAGCAAAGATTAAACTTATGCAACCAGAAGTTGAAACATAGCTCTATCTACATTTAAAACACACAAAGCACAACTAGCTTCAAGCATTAACCTTTAATTGAACCACAGCGTAGCCTAATTATGACCAAAACAAAATGGAGGATTTAAACGCAGTTACCTTCGTACAGATGAACGTATGTGGTACTTTCAGTTATCATGAGGTCGGTCACAGGGCGCTATCATCTTTTATATTTTTCCAAACTTTTGAAATAGAGTAAACCATTTTCCACCCAAACGCACAGGCTATCTGAATTACATGTTCACTGACAACCATTTCACCATTTTTTCTTGACAGCAAAGTGTTTGTAAAATGTTGGAAGAAAAGGGGGTGGAGCTCCTGCAGGTAATGGGCGTTTCACAACGGGACAGATTGAGATCGCTGATTGGTCAATTGCTGACAAGCCTGCTGGATTGATTGACAGGTGGCATCAAGGATCTGACTCGTGCAAAAACAAAATAATAGATTTTACTGGCCAGTTTAAGACTGTCATCATTGATTTCAAATTTATTCAATATTTTGGTGAATCTAAGGTTTGAGAAAATCCTAATGATGGTTTATTTATTTTTCATGGATGCTGTGTTAAAATTTAGGCCCACAAAGAGGCTAAAGTTGTTACTGCTTTGAGTTCAACACGTGCAATATTTTAGCCTGACTGGTACAACTTGTTTGGGTCAACCTCGTCTGTTATCAAAATATCTTATGAACCCCTGGACAAATATTAATAACACTTTCAGAAAAGAGTAATTGGGAGTGCGTCAGCAGCTGATTAACTGTTGGAATCAGTACTTTTCAAGATGGCCGCTACAGCCCACTTAGCCAACACAAAAATGGCTATGCCTCAGTCAGTGTTATAGGTACTGAACTAAAACTTGGTGCGGTTCTTGTTGAGCGTCATCCTCAACGTATCCTCTGCAGATTTCTTGACACCTCACTGTTATGTTTAAGTTGCATCGTAAACACGAGGGCAAGGCGTGTTAGTACTGTAATCGTTCACACAGACTGGATTTATTTATTTATTTGTGGGGGGGTGCACTTAGTGGTGCAAGGTTGAGCATCAGGTGCAGGAACAGATAATAGATTATAGCCTGAAGGCAGAGGTTCAGAGCCCCTGTGCTCCCAAACCATAAATAAAGCAAAAGAGACAAATTATCACAAAAAGAGGCTTTGTATATACTGTAATAACAAGATGCAAAATAATAAAAATACATCCTTTATTGCGTGTGCGCTTTTAAATTTTATGTTTGTTTTGGGTTTTGGGAGAGGTTGGACTTTAAAGTAGTAGTTCAGATCTTTTGATATGTGGGGAAGGGGTGTGTTTCTGTTAAAAACAATCAACATCTTACCTGTTGTAGATGGCTCTTTGAATAAGTTCAGTTTAGCTAAATTGATTTTTTTTTCTCACTAGACTGACGAGCTAAAGTCTTGTCCAAACGGAGCCAAGACAGAAGTTGATGGCTGCCGTTAAACCAACACATTGTACAGTTACAGAGATTTTTGTTAATTTTTACAGTGTAAATAGCAGCAGCAGCTAGCTGAAGCACTTCGGCACAATTTCTGTAAGAATATTGTGATATTTCTGCCAGAATAATGGTGTAAAACTAAAGGTTCAAAAACAATATTTAGATGGATTGATACAAATGTTTAGAGATTTAAGTTGTTTTAAGACGGCATCAGTCCTTTTTGATCTTAGCCCTGTTTGGGTTATTAATTAGCTCATCAATGTGATCAGAATAAACCTTTTTTCTTCAAAGTGAGGCCGTTCAAAAAGCTTTCTACAACAGGAAGCCATAGTTCATTTCTACACATAATCCATTTTTTAAAACATTTGAATTATGGTATTGCTTTAATTGCTTACTTTTATTCCCCTTTCAGGAGCACCCTGATAGGAGTTATATTTTTCTTCTATCTGCATGTTGCTTTTCCTTTTTCAATTATGTGATATGGATTACATATTTGTAAAACTAAGAACAACACTGAAACACCTTCAATCCAGCAAGCGGATTTCTCTTTTATTGGGAACATTCAGTCTCCATCACCAAAGTACTGGCAACCCATTTGATAACATTTTGCAAAGAAACATTCGCAAGGGCGAGTTGGAAACTTTTGTGGTTATATTCAGTTCAATTTTCAATTCAATAATACTTCATTAATCCCAAAGGGAAATTAATGTTGTTGTAACTCGTTATACTCGTTTCAGTAAGAGATGTTATAGATACTGATGGCTGCAGGACGGATCTCTTGTAAAGGTCCGTCCCACAGTGGATTCGAAGAAACTGGCCACAGATGCCGTCCGTTCCGTCCACCCAGACTCAGCTGGCCTCTTGGTTCCCCCGGTCTGCTCTCATGCACAGCTGGCAAGGAGATGGGAATGCATCCATGGAGCCTCCTTTTCAACTCATTTGAGATTTGGGGCTGTAGTTGAGATATTATTTGAGCTTTTGAATTATTAATCAGCGGCTCCTGGTTGTAGAAAACCACCTTGTTGTTATGGTTACGCATCATAACAAATGTAAAAAAGTTTCAGTAAAAATCCTTCCAGCTGCGCAGCATCCGATACCAAAAGAAAGACTGCTTTATGTATTACTGTAAACAACACCAGAAACAAAAAAATATAAGATTAAAACTGCTTACTGCAGGTTGCATAAAACGGATCAGTCATGAGAGTTAAACGTTTTCTTCATCGTGATTTACCTTGTGGAAATTTCATCCCTCCTAATCTGCATCAACGTGTAAAAAATACAAAAACTGGAAAAAACGTCACCAAAATGTGACAGACTGGAGTCAAACACAATTAAACACAAATACATTCTTAAGCAAAACACAAAAAACCTTCAAAAATGTAACATAATGCAAAAATAACCACATTAAGACACAATAGAACTAAGAACAAATAAAAATGAACGACCACAGTTTGTTAATGGAAACATTCAGGACATGATGCGAGTGTTTGTGTTTGTGTGTGTAATGACAACATTACCTCATACTTCATCAGATTATGATGTGATCTGAGCCACAGTGCTCAATTGTGGGATTTTATACAGAGCAATATGCTTATGATACCTCCTGTAATGTAATCTGATACAGATATATGTCGAATGTCATTTTTGAAATCAATTTTTTTTACCTTCATAGCCTAGGATTACCATTTCTTCTTACTCCATCCTGTTCAAAACACCTGTTATTGTCCCTACACGTCTTTTACCCTGACTCAGATGTCCAGTCACACTTCAGTCCACATTTAGACCTGATCACACCTAACTTCTCCCTCAGCCCATGTGATAAAAGCTGAACCATAGGAGACAGATTAGCAGCTGTGTTCTTTGTTAGAGGAAAGTCAGCTGAGAAGTTTTATCACAGATTTTACAGCTGCTGGGACAAACGAGTACAGTAGTCCCTCGTTACTTTGCGGTTTGACTTTTGTGGACTCGCTCTTTCACGGTTTTTCAAAGTAAGACTGCACACGACAAAAAACAAACAAAATAAATAAATAAATAAAAGATTGCACACGACACACGATTGTCAATTTCAGTACTGTATTACTCACGTGATTGGGACAGTACATGATACAGTAAAAAGTTAACAAAAAAAATACTTTGGACAGGTGCTGCCATTTTGTAGTTTTCTCTCAATAAGCCCACATGTCAGTCAAAAAGAACTACATTACCCAGAAGCCAAAGTTGCTTTCTGTTGAAATGGAAGGAAGTTTTGATACGATCCAAAAAAGTTTGGTCCTTATTCATAGTGACTTCGGTGATCAGTGGATGCCATATGGAACCGGCCGGGAATTGGACCAGAATCAGGTTTCCAGCCTCAACTGGTGTTCTCTCCAGAGCTCACTGGGACATTTTTCATACGGATTTGGACTTGATTGGGACCATTGTGTGGTTTTGTGCTGGCTATCCAAAGGTCCGACTCTCTTTAAAAGCATGCTCAAGGGCTGCAGATA